GTCTCGCGACACTCGTGCTGTTGGTCAAGTGACGGTCGATTGTGATTTCACACTCCACCCGAAAAAGGATATGCAGTTTGATAAGAAAATCGCAAGAATACATTCAGGTGTGATATTCATAAAATAAGATCGTTTCTTTTCTTTTCGCCAATTAGACAATTATCAAATTTTGATAGTTTTAGGAGCTGCACGTAGAAGGAACAGAGAACAGAGAATAAGAACAATTTCAGTTTATCAAAAACTATGTGCTGTGGAATACAATTTCTGATGGATTTTTATTCTTTGTCCTCCGTTCCCCATTCCTTTTATTTTGCACAGCTGCGTAGCATTGTAAGGTGATATTTCGAATATAGTATAAATACAATTAAACGTCAAGTTACTTAAACGTTAAGCATGCGAGAATGCAAGTACAAGACTTTTTATGTGTGTGCACAAAAATAGAAAATAAATATAATTTATATTATTAGAAAAATGTATGTATCTTTGCGATATGTGTGATTTATACGTAATCTACTTTACAGATTTTGATTAAGCATATAGAGATATATTGCGGACTTTGTAAAATTATCTTAAAATGCAAGCACGAGCGAGCTTCGCAACTCAGTATTTATCGTTTGTCATCGTACGTTCATCATCGTTACCGGAAACGAGCGGCGATCTCGCGTGCTAACAATTCCGGGTATGGTTTCGGCGATCATAGGCAGGTGTCACGTCATTATCAGCCACGTGAGAGACATACAATTAGCGCTCCGGTTATAAATTACTTAGGCAACGTAGTCGTAACAGAAAGTTAAGCGTTTTAATCTTGATCTTTGTTGCGCGTTGCGGATAATAATATGTAACAGGAGTACCAAAATGTCTGCTTCATGAATTACGACGAATGTATAAAAGCATTTTGACAAATTTCGAGTAATTAGAAACATTCTAATCATTGCTTTCGAGATAGTTTTACAGATCACTACGTGATAAAAAAAAAATTCTATTACTACGTCCAAGTGTCTCTGTGTAAAATTTAAACACAATTTTTTTCTTGGTTTAAAAATGATTTAATTTTTAATTTTTTGTTTGCCTTAATTCTTATAAAGTTAAGATCTTAAAATCGCATTGTGTAAAATTTAATTGCAAATTTAAGGAAGCATTTAGATAATAGAGAAAGTATTATAAATTAAATTTTTTATCCATATCAAACTTAATAACTATTCTCGGAAATATTTGTTAACACTGTCTACTATCTAATAAAAAAAAACGTTATTTTATATTATTTTTCGCCTAAAAAAATAATTTTTGGAAAAATGATAGAAGTGTCATGTAATATATTTGATATGAATTTTGAAAGTGAATGAGAATTTTATGTTTAATCTTTGGCTGAATTTGTTTTTTTGAATATTAAAATTACATGGATATTTTTACATGAATTTATCCACAGCAATGAATATCGTTGATAAATTGAATTATTTTCACGATTCGAAAACAACCATCTGCCTTTGTCCATTCTGCAGTAATCACAAAAAACGGAAGCACGAAAAGTGAAGCAAGCTGCTCGTCCGACGCCTCCGTGACATTAATTATCCACTTTAATTCGTATGTCGAAATCACATGCAAATTTTATGCGAGCAGATTCAACTACGAGTTCTCGTCCGGCACGTCTTCGCGGAGTCAGTTGATTTCCTTCAGCATTTAAGTATGCATACATCAGACATTTCTAAGCATTAACAAAATTAGAAAAATTTCATAGATTGTTCTATTACTACGTCTAAGTGTCTGTAAAATTTAAACACAATTTTTTTCTTGATTTAAAAATTATTTAATTTTTAATTTTTTGTTTGCCTTAATTCTTATAAAGTTAAGATCTTAAAATCGCATTGTGTTTAATTGCAAATTTAAGGAAGCGTTTAGATAATAGAGAAAGTATTATAAATTAAATTTTTTATCCATATATATTAATAAGTTTATTTATAATAGAATATAATAGGAAATGCGTTACTATCTTATCCTAGATAGAATAGGAAATGTGTTATTATAAATAGAAGCGGCGATGCATAGATAAGGTTAAGATGGAATCATATGATGCTCGATTTCTTAAATGATAACATACAGTCATGCTTGCTTCGATGTATGCTAGAATTCGTTCATGGATTGAACGCTGCATGCTGCATATACATGATTTTTATATTTATAGATTACTTCATAGCTTATTTCCTTGCATGCACCAATCAAAAAAGAAACAATTGCTAATTTCATATTTATTATCAAACGTCAGACTGTATGCATCAAAGCAAGCATACACGGAGAGAATTATCTTTTAAAATTTACCCTTAAAATATAGAGTAGTGTGCAATACAATATTTTAAAGATTTTTTTCCCATGTACTTTAGTAAAATTAATCAAACTTATTTTATACTTTATTGTAGTTTTATTAATGAATGAATAAAGAGAGATTAAAATTCCTCGAAATACAATGTTGTTCCACGACTATGTTTCAGGGTAAACTCTAAGAAAAAAATTCTCTCCGTGTAGTAGCATGCATGCTTATCATTCAAGATCGAGCATCATGTGATTCCATCTTTAGAATAGATTAGAAGTGCACTTCTATTTTTGTTTTATTTTTTGTATTTTGTTTATCTGTTTGTAATGCAAAAATGTGTCTGAAATTATGTTGGCAGCCATTATGTTGTGACTGCATTTGTATAATAACTTTGAGAAGAAACAATAGAATAAACCATCCCATACCATAATACTAAGTTTTTATCTACTTACTCGTTTAAAAGTTATTTATCTAAAATTGCAGCAAAATGTGCTTATTGCGCTGAATATGCCAAATTATTTTGTTTTTTTCGCAGTTGGTTTCAAGACATATTCACGACAAATTTTCATCAAATTTTTTTGTTGCTTTGACTTATATTGACTTCTTTGGCTAATTCTTTTAACTAGTTGTACAGGTAAAACATTTTTAAATGCAGCAATACTTATGGTACAATGGCGTACACAAGTCGCTATTACCTCACTCAGAATTCAGAATTTCTCATTTACGTATTTGTTTGTACAAGATATACTTCTTAATGCACGATTACACATGTAAAAGTGTTAGTGACAGAAGAGATTAACACGAAAAAAATATTTTGCTTTCATCATATAATCGAATTAAAAATACATGTAATAAGCTCTTTTAAAAAAGCATACAGAGCAATAGTAAAGTAAGAATAGCCAAGAACACGCAACTTAACAATTAGATTTCGCTGAGGTAGAGCAGAGGTTCGGAGTGACTAGACAAATGGACGGATGACCTGGGACAAGTGGAAGAGGGGCAAATATTAAAACAAAAACTTGGTTTGATAAATTTATTGATAATTTTTATGGATTCGACAAAAACATCAAATTTTGGATATCTATTGTGTCCTTTTAATAATTATTTATTTATAGGAAGACCGCAATAACCACCTCCGTTTCTCTCCACGCTCGTCGCTTTATCTAGCACCTGTATTTTAAATTAATCGAAACTCGACTTGCCACTTGCCCCAGTCTATTCCGCTTAAATTGATTTAGTGGAGTTGTCGTATCCGGGCAGAAGCGTGCGGATACTTTTGCAAACGAGCTTCGCGTAACACCACCGACGTCTCGAATAAATGCAGAAAGTGAGGAAAAAAAAGCGATGTACAGACGAGGAGGGCGATGGAAAGAAAAAGGGGAAATAGAATGAAAAGAAGTCAGAAAGAGGACAGAGAGAGTCACTTATGGAAACTTATGACAAAAATTCGGTCACTCGCACTACACTGGATCCGTAAATTAAAGGCTGCCTCATATAAAGTATCTAAATGCAATATAATTAACTCTGACAATGAAATAATATATGTGTATGTCTATTAAATGATAACAAAGTCATTTTTGAGCATTTAATTGTTTAAAATATTCATATGTTTTTAACTTTATCAATTTTATAAATAGTAGTTTTTAGTATCCTAATCTAAATAATGCAAGGTTAACAAGATAATATTTTTTTAAAGAACGAAACATTATGTTTTTAATGCTTCACACACACGCTTTAAACAGTATTACAAAAAAAAAACATGTTTAAAACATGTTAAAAACGTCTATTAAGTTGTTTTAAATAACTTGAAACATGTTTAAAACATGCTTTTTACCAATCCTGGTGTAATGCAAGTTACCGAATTCACTTCTATAAGTCATCGCTCGAGAAAAATTCAGTTTCTCGTGTCGTGACGGAAGAAAGGGAAAGGAAGAGAAACGGAAAAGGGGTAGAGATGGTGAGGGAGCAGAGACGAAAAAGGAGAAAAAGACGGAAGTAGGGGAGGGAAAGACGGAGAGGGGGAGAGAGGGAGAGGAGGGGGGCAGCGTCGACGTAAATAAAGGCAGCCGAATCTCGTTTCGACGAACCGCTATTTTGCTCGCGAAGGGTTGGGAGGGAGGTATGCTGCAACCAGCGGCATTCATAAAGAAGCTACTTGAAGGCTGTCTGTTCTAAATTCGAGACGATGACAGACGGACGGACGGAGAGACTTCGCGCGCGCGACTCGACTTCGGAATTTCGCTCCGAAACGTCTGTTGCGCCACTACACAACATCGCTACGCAAAAGTCGGCACTAAATCAGGAACGCGGAGCCGTTGTCTCTACGCGGGCTCTTCACGAGCCTAGTCCACGTGACAGTGATTCCGATCAAAGGCACTTGGACTTGGGAATCGTATCGCACGCGAGCAAGTGCACGTTAAGCAAATTGTATCACAAATTTACATTTCTTAAATTTCCATTTGTCAGCACAACCAGATTCTCCACAGATGGTCGGAAGACCATCATGTGAGCAGCTCTAATTATTCTGGGAGCTTACTAAAAAGCGCTTCACTTTTACTAAATCTTATTTATAATTAAATTTATCCCTCTTCTGCGGACGGCTCGAACAAGTAGTCGAAACAGTTGTCAACAGTTTGAGTTTACGAGATTAGGTTTGAATAAAACAATTCGATGTGATTATTGATAGAATATAAATTAATTTACGCAACAAGTTCAGTACCTCAGTCATTTTATATATAATTTAAACTTTATTTTTCTTTTATTATATTTTAAGTCTCGTTTCTTGTTCTGCTTTTAATTCTCTCGAGTTTTAGTTATTCTATAGAGGAAACTATCTCAGCTTTCATTCTCTGTAGCCTATGTCGATGAAAACAAAGAGTCCCGCGAATTCGGAAGTGGCTCGAGAATCCACGCGGCATCAATGCGCGCGCGCGCGCGATGCAACAGACGACAGAGGATTCGAGACACGAGGAGGAGGAGGAGGAGGAAGAGGATGAGAAGAAAGAGAAGAAGAGAGACAGGAGAGACGGGAAGAAAGAAAGAGAGAAACGAGAGAAACATGAGAGCGAGAAAGAAGATATGAGAGCGAGAAAGAAGCTAGGCAAGAGAAAGAAGGGAAGAGGGGTTGGCAAGCGGCACATTAGCGACACAAAGACTTGAAGAGCGAGAGTCATTGAGGTTACCTGTGACATCATTGACGGGTACATCGGCAATTAGGTTGACTCTCTGTCGCGACTGTTGTTGTTGTGGTTGTGGTTGTTGTTGTTGTTGTTGTTGATGTACTTGATGCAGGTTGCCTTGTTGTTGAGATCCCAAGGGCAGACTACCGGCGCTCGTAGCGGTACTCTCTGTCAGGATCACCGTTGGCACCACGGCGGCAACGGCGGCGACGGCGGGGTGGATGATTCCGCGAGGGAACCCGCCGTCGTCACGATGCCGGCATTGTTGTCGAAGACTGTCGCGGGGCTCTCACCCTCGCCCTCCCCTGTCCTCGCAGCCATTCCGGGCCTCGCGTGTCCCGGCGGATAGACGGACAGATAGACAAACGGACAGACAGGATTCCCTCCACTTCTCTTGCACGTTGTTCCCGTGAGCGCACGCACTTCTCCTAGGAAGAACACCTACACTCTTTTACGTACTCTCTTTTGCGCTCTCTTTCTCTCACTCTCTCATTCTCTCTCTTTCTCTCGTTCTCTCTTTCTTTCTCTCTTCGCGGTAACGTGCGCTTCGTTCTCTCTTTTTCCACGCGCTCTCTCTCTCTCTCTCTTTCACTCTCTATCCCGCCGACGTCTCGTACACTCGCTTTCGCTCTCGTGCGCTCTTCTATCATACTCTCTCACTCTCTCACGCCTCCGTCACTCTTCTCCGTCACTCTCGCGCAGGCTCACGAGTTGTCTCCCTCCCCCCCCCTCTCACTCTCTCTCTTTCTCTCACGACTACACACTGGTCAGAGCGCAGTGTCCGAGACGTACCGAAACTGCACCACCGCACCGCCACGGTTCACTCGCTCGCTCGTTCCCAGCCGTTCTCTCTCTCTATCTTTGTCTACTCGACTACCTATCTCTCTCAGTCTCTTTCTCTCTTTCTCTCGTCCGTCTCGTCAGTCGAACGTTGGTATATCACGGGACGGCGGCATCGCAGGTACACGCACACGCCACGTTTTACCGAAGAAAAGAGCGGAGGTAACGCGCGCGGTATTCGTTAACCTCCCGTTCCCGTCGGCCCGTGAAAAAATGGAACGTTAGACAAATGTAGGTCTGTAGGCCACTTCACTTACACTTTGCATCGGCACGGGCACTCCCTAAGTCAAGCGAGCGTCCGGCGCACTGTCGCGCACTGACAGCACGAGAACCGCCAGGACCGTATCGGCCGCACGCCGCCCGCCATACGTTCGCATTTTTTTTTCGTTTCTTTCATTCGCGGATCTCTTCCTCTTCTCCTATTTCTTTTTCTCATCCTCCTAGCGACGAACGAAAATTTGCCTCCTTTGCGAACGGATCAACGGATCGCGCGACGCGACGGCGGGAAATGAATCCCTCCAGTCTACAATGTCTACATACCGTGCGATCTGAAATTCACGCAGAAATTGCTCCGAAGATCGTCGTTCGGGAATAAAGCGCGAAGGTCAGGGTCATGTGCGTGTGACGATCTTTGCGTGTCGCTCCGATTCGTATCGCCGTCTAGTTGGCGTCTCCCCCGCCCCCACCCCGTTACGCCGAGCGCTCGTGTGTACGGCAGTGGCCGAACGAAAGGGAAAACCGCGTAATCGCGAGCGTATACATGAAGTGATAGTGAGGTACGCCGGCGTTCGCTTTCTCGCTCGCCACCGGCTATCGAGACAAAAACAGTCCTCCGTCGCTTCGTCGAAATAGAAAGAGATAAGAGATGGAGGAAGGTGAAAAGAGAGCAGAAAAGGCAGAAAGAGGATTCGAATTCACACGCCGGCTCGGCCGGTCGGTGCAGAAAGGCCGGAGCCGGGCGGAAAGTTACGGCGGTTACGGCCCTGCGCCTCATCGGCGAGCTCCGTCGCGGGCGGAAAGACGCAATTTCCAAAAGGTATCCGTCCCCGGCCCCGCTACCTTCGCCGCCGACGAGCCGCAATCGCGACCTGCGTCGTTCCGCGGATCCGGGAGACGACGGTACCGCGGAACGACTCGTGCGGGCCGGCTTTTTCGGCCGTTCTAACGAACCACCGGGGATCTGTCACGAACCTCTCCTTTCGCGTGCTTCGGCGACACGATTCGCCGCCGCGTCGTGAGGTACGACGATGATAGGCCGAGCTCTAAGTAGGTCAGCTGCCGCGGTGTCCGATCGCCCGGCGCGGGCCGCCCTTACGCGGCGTACGTTGCATAACTCGTCACGCGCGACTTCACCGAGTAAAACCGCGTGAAAAAGGCTACGGTCCGACGGACATAATGCGGCCGTAATACGTTTTCAATGAACAATGCACTTGACTAACGCACTCCTTGTCGCGACGCGACCAGCGCCGTCTGTCGCGAAACCGCGCTCGTTTCAAAACGGCAGTTATTCACGATCAAAGACGTAGAACATGGACCACGCTATCCGTATCTAAATAGTATGTCTAATGTCATCAACAAAATTAAGAGAGAAAAAGGGACAATCTCCCTTTTCTTTCTATCAATATTACTGTTGTATTACACAGAAAAAGATAGAGATTGGCTGTCTTCGCGTCATGTCTCTTTCATTTTTGTCGATTAATTGTATACGTATACACGGATTGTGTAATCTATATTTTATGCTCACTACAAAAACGCGCGGATTTGTGTGGAGACTTCGATTTATTTCGATTCGAAGGGCTCAAATGGATTTCTTTTCGTCGACTTATTGTTAGAAAGTATAAATGTCTTGAACACATTAAAAACTCGTATTATCGAGTTCTCTAAAATAAAAAGAAAAACTTTTTGTAAATTGTAGTCTTTTTGAGGACTTTATTTTTTAAATATTAAATTATTGAAAATAATTTAATATTTAAAAAATGAAGTCCTTTCGCGAATTTCAGAAAATACGTACATACGAAATTAGATAATATATCAGTTATATATATGTCAAAAATTAAAATTGCAATTTTCTAACGTCCCGTATCATATATCTTTTTCTTAAATCTTTGACAATTTTTACGATATTTTTTTATTAAAATGGATTTCATTGTACTTTTCTAAATAAAATCGAGAAATTTTTTTATTATATTTCAACTTTCTAAACATTCATTTACAATATGTAAAAATTCAATATATACATATAAAATACTATTAACTATCTGCTATGATCTAATAAGGCTTCTCTTTTTTAGAGTCCAACCGAAATCACATTTTGATCTCCTGCCGAAACCAAAAACGAATATTCGGTCGTCCTTCAATTTCAGCCGAAAACGAAAACGAAACTTAGATAAGTCTTATTAAAAAAAAAGAAAAGAAAAGAGAAATTAACGGAGTCACATTTTGTTTCAACCAGAATTGAAATCGATTAAATATAAGAATAATAGAGAGATTATATAAGTAATAATTTTAACATATTTAAATTATATATTATCAAATTTAATTAGATTATTTTAGAAATTTATGTATTAAGGTGGCATTTTTAACATTATTAGAGCAAAAGATTTTTAGGATAATCATATAGTCAGGATCGTAAGAGGCCCAATAAAGTAGGAGTTAGGGGAGTTTGAATTCCTTTCAAAGATGCTATTAAATTGTTTAAGAAACAAGTATTTGTAATTTATAGATCAAGATATTTAATATATTATATTACTCCAATTATTTTATTTATGTTATTAATAATAGTCAATTGATTATTATATGGATATATTATTAATCTTTATTATTTAAATTATTCGTTATTATTTATAATTATTGTTTTAACAATTATGGGATATGTATTTATATTTATGGAGTGATTATCTAATTCTTTACATTTATTAATGGGGGCTGTGCGTTCAGTTTCACTTTATATTATGAGGTTAAATTAATTATAATTTTTTTTAGTGTTGATAATTTTAAGAGAAAGATATTTTTTTATTGATTTTGTAAAATGGCAGAATTATATATGGTATATTTTTATAGTTATACCTTTATTTTTAGTATTTTTAATAAGATTTTATTAAATTATCGAATTATAACAATATAACTATAACTATAATAATATTGCATCTTCAACTTTTAAAGAAATCAAATTACAATTATTATTATTATCGCAGATATTATCCAAAATTTGGACTCAAATTGTCTTAAACTTAATCAACAAATTAATAGCTAAAATCAAACAATTATTTTTTAACACTCACTGGCGTATTGCAACTTGTACAGTTTCGGTTTACCCACCGAAATTTTCTCTTAATTTTGACGAAAATCGAAATTAAATCTCAATTTTTTATCAAAACTGATCGAGACCGAAACCAAAATTTCGATCGGACTCTATTTATTTGTGTGTGTGTGTGTGTGTGTGTGTGTGTGTACATATTAAATTATTTTTAAAAATTTGTTACCATATCTGATTACTCATTGTAAAAAGTAATTCGTTAGCGTTATCATTACTCCAAAAGTATCAAATCGTTATAATTTCGTTATTTTTTCCCCGAATTGATTTTTTTTCAGAGTAGCATCCAATTATCTATGTCACTAATTGACCAATTCAGCAAACCTATAATTACCTCAAATCTATGATTAATCTCAATATGATCAAACATAACTCTTTTTTTATACTCACTTATGTACATTTCATACACGTACATGTATAAAATAATAATAAAATTTATATTCGTTATACTTACCCAAAAATATAACTACATTACCATCAATATAAATCAAAACAAAATAATATAATGTCGTTATCTCAAGTCGTTATTTGAAAAAATAATTATAACGAAAACGATGTTTCATATGAATAGCGTTACTTCCCAATTATCTTGTAGTTTATAAAAATACTACATATATAATAAATATAAAAATAAATTTTATGATGCAATTTAAATCGACGTACAGTTACTTAGTTGTTCGTTTGTTTAGCTTCATCGAAAAGAGCACGCGATATAATCAGTCTTTGAATCTGCGCAGTACCTTCGTATATCTGATAAATTTTGGCATCGCGCATAAGCTTTTCTACTGGATACTCAGAATTGAAACCTGCACCACCGAAAACCTAAAAAAAAGTCATATACGATAAATTATAAAAACATATCGAATCAACTCCACCTTTTTGCTAACTGTATAGTTTCATAAAAAATTCATTAATATAAGTTATTGTATTGTACTCTACCTGTACAGCGTCTGTAGCACATTTATTAGCTACATCACTGCAATAACATTTTGCAATACTAGCGAGCATTGTAGCATTCGATAAATTTTTATCAACAGCCCAGGCTGCTTTCATCCATGCCATTCTAGAAGTCTCAATACCAATAGTCATATCCGCTAGCATGAAAGCTATTACTTGATGTTCTGCTATTGGTTTACCAAATGTTTTGCGTTCCAGTGCATATTTTGTTGCTTCGTCTAGAGCTCTCTGAGCTAAACCAGTAGCTGCTGCCGCTACCTGTAAAAATGTTAAATGTAAAAATATACTTGCACATATCTTATTATCTATATTTATTTGACACCTAATGAATAGATGGATTTAATGGAATATTACCGGTGATCGGGTTCTAGTAAAAGTCTTCATAGCTATTTTAAAACCTTCTCCTTCTCCAAGCAATACATTTTCTTCAGGAACACGAACATCTTCAAATGTTATCATTCGCGTATCGCTTGCTCTTTGTCCCATATTAATTTCCTTAACATATAAAAAAAAAAAATATAAATCAGTACAAATTTAAGTAAACGTTTAAATAAGATATCAATAAAAAATTATCACATCAAGAATTACCTTACGACCGGGAGTTAAGCCATCACTATTACGTTCCACAATAAAACCTGTAAAAGCTTTATTAGCTGGAGCTTTTGGATCTGGATTTGTTCTCGCTAAAACAAAATACCTGTTCAATAAGAAGTTATGTTAAAAGTGTAAGTGATATCCTTTAGAAGTTAATATAATACTATATATATATATATAATTAAATATATTGTCTCTTTAGAAGTTAATACTAAATAATAAAGCATATTGTTTCATACCAGTTCGCAACACCACCATTTGTGATCCACATTTTGGTACCATTAATTATCCACTCTTTTCCTTTCTTCTCAGCTTTGGTCTTAATACCTGCTACATCAGATCCTGCACCAGGTTCAGTAACGCAATAT